AAAAGGAAAAAATTACAGAAAATTCAAAAATGGCTTGGCCAGCTGATTTGAAAAATGTTCCGGAGGGCTTGGCAGCGAAAGGGTTAAGTGTTTTATGAGGCACTTTAAAGTGACTATAAATAAGAACATGTATTTACCTTGCACTGGATGATTAACTATATGTTTCTCTCCACTTTCATCTAATGATCGTTTAGTCCTGAGGATAATAAAGCTGGAGAGAGGATCAACGTCATTTTTTTCCAGTATACCAGGTCCATTACAGCCAATATCTTGACACGTCTGTGCTTCTGAAATATCTGTGAAATTGGTACCACTGATATTTTCATGGCCAACTGACAGTACTTGAGTAACTGATGGTGTGTTCTCTTTTACATCTTGACCCTTTGGAAAAATTAGCCATTTATCTAGCTGATTTTCCTTATGTGTAACTAAGGTTTCATCTGCCTCTTGAGAGTCAATGTGAAAAGCAACATTGTTTTGTCTGTGTAAAGGAGGCCATGACACACTTATCTGAGATGAAGAAGGGACCTGAGATATAAACATTGTGCCAGTTTTCTGAAAGTTGTCTCTTTGCTTGACACATGCCTGCTTCTCTTCTAGTACTCCTAAAACATAAACATTATAGAAGGTAATCTACATGTGTCTCTCACACTGAGAAACAATGATCAATAACAATTTATAGTAGTTATGTAAATGTTATACAGAACGGTGGTACAGAATAGTGGATTTAGGATCAAATTAAAATTATGCGCCTAATGACTTGCTCAGAATAAACCATATATTGTAGCTACTGAGAACTAAATACATATACTTACCACCTCCTAGCATATGCAATGGAACTCTAATGTTTCTAAATTAAACAGTGATAAAGGGAATTATTAAACCATTGTTAACTTAAACTATTGAGCAATAGAATTAGATTTCCTTATTTAATTATGTAGCACAATCAGCAAAGTACAGCACCTATTACAACCACAAATAACCTTTCCATTTCAATATGCAGCCAGCAATTATTTTCTATAACTGGCAAAAAAAAAATACATTGCGTTAATGGCAATATTACTCAATTGATGGCAGGATTTGAAACCCGGGACCCCTCTTCTTTCGCTTACATGGTCATGTAGTAATGGAAGAACCTTTCCCTTAGCATCATGCTAAAAGCCTGCAGCAAGTGCATTGAATTGTTCTGGGGATTGGGACTTTTTCCTACAAAAAACAAACAAACATTCTTGTTCGTTCAGGTTACAACTGTATTCTTAATGAAACCTCAGCCAGTTTCCTAAGCCCCCACCAGATGTATTCTTTATTAATTTGCACTATACACCTAAAAGTACTACTCGAAGGTCTGAACTGACCAAACTGGTTAAGGCACAAGTCCACTATTACTGAAAAACACTGCCGTGCCATAGCCAGCTGATGTGCTGTCGAGGTTTACATCTAAATGTGTATTTTAATTGAGCAGAAATAACCAGAGGCCTGGTAGTATTGTAATGTTAAAATGGTAGTTGTAACAAAAATATTCATCCAACTTCACCTGATCTAAAGTATATGGATTTACAGATCAGGCATGCAAACAAATTAGGACAGCAAAGCAATACTTTCATGTAAACGGCACATTCCTGATGTTTATTATTACACAGCTGAACAAGGCAGAGTGTTTCAAGAGTAAATGCTATGTTCACATTCTGCTACCTTGGGGCCTGTTCACATGGAGCGTTTTGGGATTCCTGAAGCACGAACTTACAGATTCCTGCGGCAGGAAACCGGGATGTGCCCATTCGGAAGCAGCCACTGTAACCATTTAAGTAAATGACAGGGTGACATTGGTCTCATCTGTAAGCTGTAGTGCACGCGTAATCATAAATGATGACATGCGGTTTGGAACAGATGTTTGTCGCTGGAGGCAGGATAGATGTGTCCAACGACAGTCATCTATTCCAAACCACATGTAATCATGCCATGTATCACGGGCTATGCTTTTGTAATCTCACACTATGCTTTGTTCTACTAATTTGGATGTGCCTAAATGCTAGCTGGTGAATTGACTATCAGCTAAAAGTCTCCTGCTAAATTACCGACTCCACAACCATCTTTGCTGTTAGATGTAAATGGTAGTGTATGGCTGCAAGTCCCAAATCTTTGCACATACTGTACAATGAACCTAGCGATACAATGTAATGTGCTGGGCAATGGGTAATTCCATTTTTTTATGCTGTGGGTGCATTGCAGGCGTGTTGATGGGATACTATTGATATTCATCAAGCAGTATTTTTTTAAACATCCCAGACTTGCAACACACCCACAAATTGCAGATGTAAACAAGGTCTTAACATACACTTCTGTAAATAAACATTTTAAAAGTGACATTTCTGATTCAAATACTTATTTGTACTGGTTTAATTATTAGTTCTGATTATTCTTCTGGAAACTTAGTTATGGTATATTGCTGTCATGCCAAGAATTTCTAGCTTAGTTGTATCCTGTTCTAGAAGTCGTGAAGATTGCCAGACGTTTGCTAAAGTTTATGTTCTGGTACAACCTTTCTCAACCAGGGTGCAGAGGCATACTAGTGTACCTCCTGGCCTCCTCAGGGATGTCTCAAAATGTTGTGGTAGTGGGACTGTAATGTGAAGGTGGACTGAAGACTGATGTAAACGGGGAACTCTGATGTGAAAATTTGGGACTCTGATATGAAAGTGGGGCTTCTGATGTCAAAGGAGGGTCATGATGTGAAAGGGGGGCTACGGATGCAAAAGGTGACTCTGATGTAAAGGAGGGGAAACCTTGAATTGAAGGGGGCACTTCGATGCGAAGGGGGAGACCTATTTTTTTGTGTGTTTTTGCGTGGGGTCCCCCTAAAGTGACATTTTAGACTGGGGTGCCTTAAGATTTTGTATATTCTTAAAGGGGGCCATGACTAAAAAAAAAAGGTTGAAGAATGTTGCTCTAGTAGAAGTGATACCCTGTATTGGCTAACTCAGGTTATTAAATATACCAGTTTCTTTCTTTATAACATGATGTATCAATTCAACTACAAATTACAACTACAGATACAACATTTCTGCATTGATCGATAACTTAAATGTGAACTGAGTGGGCCCTTCACTGCATACCACATCAAGCAGATACTGACAACACCAACGGTACTAATTCACAAATTGTGCAAAATAACTCTGTTTACTGCCTGCAACGCATCTAAAAAATAAAGCACTAGCCACAAGTAAAAGTGCCCCTCTCTCATGTGGAGGCCATACACATGTTTTGGATTATGTGAAATTGTTGTTGTGCGCATTGGTTCTAGGAACATGAGGACACTGTAAATAGCAGGGCCCCTTTTTTGTTACTAGGGGTAGAGGTTTCAGGTATAAATGTGTTTTCAGGTTAAAGTAGATAACCTCTTTATAGTAAATTCAATATGAAGCAATAGCCCCACTATGAACTAAAAATATTTACAAGTTAATACCTTAAGCATACAGAATGACAATAAAACATGATTGGCAAAGACTTTAGAATTATTTTCAGTCACAGTCACAAGAAATGATATGGCTAAGTAAATAAGACACAGTCACATGAGAACATTGAGGACAAAAGGTGTATGAAAGAGTATTATGCGTCATGAATCAACTGTGCACTGGAAAAGAGTTTGTGTAATAAAGGTTAGTTGAGCTTCTGCACACCTATAGACAAAAAAAAGAGTTCTGTCATATGCTTGTAATCTGTAAATGAAAACAATCTTGTCATATGGCATTATAAAAATGCAGTAGAGAAACACAAGGTGTTGTCTTATTTTATAGCCTCTAAAAAGTTTAGAATTTGCATATATTAGGCTCGATTCAATAAGACGGATAGGTTATTATAACGCAGCTACCTATTTTATATCATGATAGTTTTCTTTTAAAAAATACATAAATTCACAATCATAAATGTCACCAAGATGTGTAAAAGGGGTTTTAGTACCAAGGGAGTTGGCCTGCAACTTTTTATGTGCCTAGTGTCCATTTCTCCTGTAGGCGGCAGTATCTGGTAATCTGGTAATTATTGTAGAGCTTTTTTATTTGAGCAGTGAGGACTTACGTTCCAGCTGCGTTGGAGTAATCCTTGTTACTGACTCCATTCTATTTAAAGCTAGACTGCCTGTAGTAGAATAAGAATTCAGTTTCTCAATAACTGTATCATGCTTTATAGTCAGTCCAAACTCGTTCTGATAATTATCTTCCAAGGTCCAAGAATCCACCAGTTTATCAGGTCTGATACATATTTTCTCCATCAGCTGATCTATTGTATGGTGTGGTGATATAGCTGGAACGTATGAAACTGTAGAACAAAAAAAAAATTAAGAAAACTGTATATATATATACATACATATATATACATATACATATATATATAAACTGTATATATACATAAAAATAACAAAACAGCATATGGTACATGATTAGATATACAGCATATGGGTGATCTGAGTCTACTTTTAACCATATCTGAAGTCCACTTGGAGTAAAAAATTTGAATTTATTACTGTGAGTTTTAATGTGGTAGTAATCTTTGGTAACAAGAGCTTTTAGCTGTGAGCAGAGGTAGTTTTTAGTGCATACAGCATTGGATGTCTTAACTACCAGTTAAGACATCCAATAAAGTAAGAGCAGGTTTGCAGAGGTTAATTAGTGTTAGGGATAAGGTTAGTAGAAATATTGGGAAATAAACACATTTACTCTAAACTGGTAATTCCTGTCATGTGATGAAGGTTACCTAACAGAGGAGTGGTGCAAAAGTAATGCTTGTCATAAAAATCTGCCTTTCCTCGACTCTTCCTATCAAGGGCCACAGAAAGAGATGTATGGCTCCACTGTGCACTAGCAGACATCCATATCAGCACCATGTTTTACTACACCTGATCAAACTTAAACTGGAGGGTGTTCTGTCTTTTCTTATTTCATTATGCCTGAGTGCATTAATGTAATAATGTAAAAGAACCTCACTAAATTATATCACGTGTGACACTGTAAAGTGAACTGAAAAGCATAATCTTTTATTGGGCCCTAAGGATACGTTTCAGAAATACTGATCTGCGCCCTAAGGTACAGGATCAGAAATAAGATAAAAATAGATAAAATAGATAAAAATAAGTGTACAGTTACAAATGGAGTTTAGATACCTTTAAGCAAAGGAAACTCGATGTCCACATGGCTTTCTGGATATTCAGGAATAGCCGTGGGTAGATCTATAATGTGAAAGCTTAGACACAAAATATAAATTGTAAATATATATAAATGTAAATAAAAGCATTCAAACAGTTTGATCAGTTTAACAGATAGTTCCAGGGTGAATAAACAATAAAAACAACTAAAATTAAGGACCTTTTTAAAAATAGTTCACTAAATTGCCAAATTTTAAAAGGATTTCAGTTTACATACCTAAATTTCAGGTGTCTTTTAGCAGAAACTTAAAAGAGAGCCAGTGGTGGAAAAGGGGGTAGAGGGCGGTGGAGGGTGAGTAGCTCTTTGACATTTTTTTTTTTTCAATTCAGGAAGTGGGTAACAGAATACTGGGGGGTGAAGCCCTAATGCTGGTGTTGGGCTTTAAAGCTGCAGTCAGCACTCTCAATAGAGTTTATATTAGGTACTCTTAGACTTGAACCGATCATAATAGAGGTTTGGGGCTCCTCCCCGCCTGGCATGCTACATGTTTTCTGGTCGTGTCCATCCATACAATCATTCTGGCTTCAAGTAATAATTTCAAACAATCATTCTGGGTTCAAGTAATAACAATCATTCTGGGTTCGAGCTGAGCTAAATTCGATCTACAGCAAGCGGTGCTGGACCAAGGCCAGGAAGATGGTGAGGGACCTCAGCCATCCCAATAATGGACTTTTCTCTTTGTTGAGGTCTGGGAAGCGTTTTCGCTCCCTGAAGGCCAACACAGAGAGACTGAGGAGAAGCTTCTTCCCTCAGGCTATACGGTCTCTCAATCAGATCTCTATATAGACATACATTCTACTGCCTGATTAGGTAAATGTTCTTACACTCACATTTACTGCACATCTGCACTTTAAAAAGAATGGTCAAAGGAAGGTCAATACACTGCTGGTCATCACCTTAATTCATTCACTCCATATTGCTGCTGTTAGCACTCGCACACTTTACACTTCATACTGTATTTGCATTTTTAGTCTAATTTAATTTTTAATATTTACATTTTAACATTGATATTTTATTTTGTGATGTAAAAGTCTTATATTATTATTGATTCTTCTCTCTACTTGTACTTCTCCCTCTCCTTCTTGCAGACGTGTAAGCATTTCACTGCATATCATACTTGTACGATTACTGTATGTATGTGACAAATACATAAATCTAAAAAATCTAAGTACACACAGTCCCTCAAAAACTCTCTGACGCACAGATCCCCCTGAGACCCTCCTTCTTCCTTTTGCATCATAACACACATTCACTGAAGGGTTATAAAAAGTCGGTTATAATTCACCTCATTAATGCCGCAAGGGCTTGCATACCGGCTATGTGCAAACATGCTTCCCCACCTACAATACAGATGTGGTTCAACTGGATAAGAGATATTAGACACACGGAAGACCTTACTAGTTCCATTAAAGGAACTGGAGCTCAGTTCGCCGCTACATGGTTTTGGTGGTCCGACTTTACCTCTACACAGGAATATTTAGACCTCTTAGTTTGATAACAACGAATGGCTGAGATCCCTGCTTCTCCCCCCTCCTCTTCCTGTACTCTTTTTCTCTCCATGTATGGGAGGACATCTGCCCATTGTTTGTAGTGTTGTGACCCACCCTATAATAGTGCAACTGGACCATGAACAGTGCGTTCCAGAGTGGTCAGCTGCTGGAACGCACTGTATCGCACCCTGGCCAGCTTCCTGCGTTCAGGGGCAGGAGGGGGCGTGGCGGTGCATTGAAGTCAATGGCACCGCAGCTACGCCCCCTGCCCACAGTAGAACGCGTGGCACATCAGTGCCTGCATTCCGGTCCAATGAGATCTGTTTTTTCTGATCACATGTGCCACACATTCTGGCATGGTCGATCGCAATGCGGGCGGGGGGCGTGGCTGTGGTACCATTGAGTTTAATGCACTGCCACACCCTCTCCCGCCCCGGAATGCACTGTTCATGGTGCGAGCATGCCCTTAAGCAGCACTAACATTCTGAAATGATGCACTTACACATGATGTGATATGATCACTTTGATAAGCCTCTGGGCTTTTAAATAGATCCAGGTATGCTGAAAACATATGCTTTCCTGATCTCCCAAGCTGCCACTGGTCCCTAGGCATGTACCTGGCATAGAGGTCCTGCGAGACTCTAAAACAATGCAGTTACACTTGATGTGATGTGACAAATGCTTTTTTGATCTCCGTATCTTAGTACCTTGAATATTTTGTTACCTATGTAAGCTAATTCATGATCAGTGGGGATCAGTGGCAGTTATGCTGTGTCTGGGCCCCTCAGTGCCAAGGCCTTTTATGTTACTGACACAGACTTACAACCTTATGATCCCTCCATCGGAGAAGGAGTGCCACACAGTCCATTTTCATTTTGTCTACGTGTGAATTAGTGTAAGAGGGAAAGTAAAAGTAAAATGCATCAAGGCATAAATTACTGTGGTATGAAGTCCAATAATTTGTAGGGGAATATAAAATAATAGAGAGTCTATAAATGATTTGATGCTTAGAGAGAGCACTGACTTGTTTCACCTCACTTCTCACTTTAGTAAATCAGTCCCAGGATCATTTCCCCTAACCTTAGTTGCCCCTGCTTCATCTCACGCATAAAGTTTATCTAAAGCCAAAACTGATCATTGTGTAGAGTAGGGAAAGGTTAAACCCATGTCCATTTTTTGCTATTCTTGTCCCAACTGTGAGATTTCCCTTTACTTCCTGTCATGTAGACTTATTCTCTCCAATGTGACCGAAATCCTCTCATAGCAAGTTAATGATTGGTTGACCGCGGCTGCATTTGAAAGCAGAACGATGACACACTGCATGTAATCGTATGTAATTGTATCACGGTTCGGAATAGACCACTATGCCTGGAAGCATTTGGATTATCAGGGTCCCCGGAGTCGAGGCTCCAGTACCTCCAGATCGACGTCCTTTCTTATTTCTCATTTCTCTTATTTCTCAACCCTAGGCGCTTGTGTCTTCCCTTATGTCTTTCCTACTTGGTAGGTTCAGTTGCCATCTTCCGTCCAAAAGGTTCCAAAAGGGTAAGGCTCCTTCCCTCCTTGCTGATGCCCGAATTGGCACCCGGAAGCCTCGACGTGCTGGCCAGACGCTGTGACTAGGTAAGTCACTCCTCTTGATGGTCTCTCTCCGGTCTCTCTCCGGTCTTGCAGGTCTCTCTCCGGTCTCTACAGTCTCTCCCCCGTTCGTCTCCAATGCCTCCACCAGTACCTCCACCTCCACAACGAGCGTACGGTACTCAGGACAAGCCGCGCCCCCCTCAGGTCGGCTTCCGGATTACGTCAGACGCAACGTCAGACGCAACCTCAGACGCAACATTGTACCCCTGTTAGAATTATCCTATTTAGGGATGAACCAATATATCGGCCGCCGAAATATATCGGACGGAAATTGCACTTTTGTATAATGCCGAAAGTGCAATTTTTTGGCCAATACAGCAGTGCAACCACTCTTTCCTCCCCACTGGGCGCTGGTCTGTGTCCCAGTGGTAAGGAGAGAAACTGTGACAGCCGGCCGAGCGCTGCGGAAGGAGAGCGCTGTGAGCAGCCGACATCTCTCCTCCCACACCGCTCAGCCTCCTATCCTCCTATCACAGATCAGCAGAGCGATGTGTGGGCGAAGACAGCCAGCGCTATCACAGCAGGCTGAGCTCCACTCGCTCAGCCTGCTGTGACAGCATGTCAGTAAGGAGAGCGGGTAAAAACACTCAGCGATCAGTGATCACTGAGTATTTGTAAATAATTGAGGAAGGAGTATGTTTACTATAGCCTCAAATATGAATTAATGGGAAGTGAGCTACATCCCCTCCTGTTCATTCATAATTGTGGTTATAGTAAATACACTATGTTCTCATGTTATGAATGAACAGGAACACTCATGGAGAATTCCTGTTCATTTATAACAGGGGCTGCAGAAAAAGAGATTGAGGACTCTGTGTTCTCAATCTCTTTTTCTATTTTAAAAGGGAAATATCAGGGGTCTGTTTAGACCCCTGATATTTCCCCCAAAGCCCCGTAAAAGTAAAGTAAAAAATAAAAATATTTATTAAAAAAATGAATCAAATAAAAATAAAATATTTAAACAATTTGAAAAAGTTAAAATAAAAAACATTTTCGGTTTTGGCCTGACATTTTTTTTTTCGGTTTTGTTTTCGGTTTTTAAATTTTAATTTCAGTGCACCTCTAATACTATTGCATTCAGTCCCAGTGACAATAGTCACCCGGACAATCAGAAAGAGAGAATCTCCCCAGTGGGGACACAGACAACAGTAAAACTCTGAAAGGAATTCTAACCCCTCATTTCTTTCTTTAAAACTTAAAAAAAAAGTTTTGGTTCCATACATAGTTACATAGTATTTGAGGTTGAATAAAGACACAGGTCCAATGTACTGTAAGTAAAGCAGGCCCTTTGGCTGGTGGTATGCAATTCTTTAGCAATTTATTTACAAGAATTCTCAGTTAATCTGCAGTTATGCAATCTGTTGACCAAGAAGAAATCACAATAGCGGTGATGATAACTAAAACTAAACTATGACATACAGCATTATTTGCTACATACGTAGAACAAATAGGCGATAAGACTTCTTCAGCAAGATTAATGCATTGTTCTTTTCCTGCAATGTTTGGTGCCTTATTTGGTGGAGAGAAGGGAACCTCTAACTCTTCCTCATGGTATGAACTGAAACAGACTTCATAAAACAAGCAGGCATTAACAAAGGACACAAAGATAATTATTTCTGTTGTAATGGTCAGACAGACAAAATATAAAAAGGTTATCTTTGAGAAATGTTGGTTTTAGATAGAGTAGGGAAGAGTTAAAACACTGTTAGGTTATTTTTGCTGACTTTGTAAAGTTTGGTAAATTTCCCTTAATTTTCCAGAGATGCAACAGAAAGTTAAAGGAAATCTCCCAAAGTGAGGAAAATTCCACTCTAGAAAGTTATCCCCAGAACAGATGTCCCCATTACAAGATTTCCCCACATATTTTGGTAGCTCTAAAATTTTGAATTTCACCTTATTTGCTTTCTCAGTAACAATGGTCACCAGTACAAATAGATGGCAAATCTCTATAACTGGGGACACAGACAGCAATTAAAAAAAATGACAGAGGGTCTAACACTTCCACAATCTATCTAAAACTGGATACAAAGGTTTTGCCTAGAGATACTTTAGAAGCATTTTACATTTGGATTTAATACAAAGAAAATATGTTATGTCAATGGAGATGCTAAGGTAGGCCTTCCTCCACTAGGCTTAGCAGGTAGATGATTATATTTTGGGTCAAGCATGCCATTATACTGAGCCTTAAACACTGTAATATACTAAAGGGAACCTGAGAGATTATTGCATTTGCCATTGCTTACTTGTTAATTGAGGGAATGTATATTAGTTTCTTATTTTCTTTTCTATTTATTATGCATAGGGTTAAAAAATAGCATTTTAAAAAAGTGTTTTTTTTTTTTTGATCCAGTGAGCTAATTTTAAAATATTGCATCTTTATGTTTTTCTTTTGGCCCAACAGGGGGCGCTCTAGACTCCTTTTCAGATTTAATTAGACTGAAAAATCCTTATTTCCAGAACTCAGGGAATCATTACAGTTGCAACTCATCTCTTATCACAAGACTAAGTGCTTTTAGTCAGACAGATATCAATTATGGTTATATAGGTTAAAAAAAGGCAATTGGGAGGAGGGGGCGTAAACCAGGTGCAGAAGAGCAGGAGGGTAGTTGAGACTCCTGAGCAGAAAGATTTTCCTTCACTTTCTGACTTTCTGTGCCCCTATCACTCTCAAATGGGGATACAGAGACTAATAAAATCTAAAAGATGATCTAGCCCTTTCCCACTACACTGGGAAAAACTGGTTCTTTATGGCATTCTGTTGCAGATACTGAACCCGTTTTCTGGATTCCATATTGTTATCTACTGTCTGCCCTGAATATCCACTGCTAATACCCGATTGTGTACAACAGACCTAACCTCAGCCACTAAACACTACTAGTTTTGTGGACTACCTATTCACTACTCACTGACTTGCTTTGGTCTCCTCTGTATGTTAGCAGCTGCCAACTAGGTTAACCCAAAAGCTAAAACCCTGCAGCTTAATGTAGGGTTGCCACCTGTCCAGGATTCACCCGGACAGTCCAGGTTTTGAATGCTGTGTTCGGGTTTCATGGCATCAGAAACCCGGATACAAGATGTCAAGCAGACAGGGACAACCAAAATTAAGACTGGCCCCCACTGAAAAACTGAAAACAGTCTCAACTGTGATATTTACATATGAATGGACGGCGCAATTTACATATGAATAAGCTACGACTTATTCTCCCAAACAAATGTCTGAGCGTCGCCTGAGTGTTCGGGTTTCGCTTGAAGAAAAGGTGGCAACCCTAGCTTAATGCAAAAACCCATACCTGCCCCTATTAAAGCTCATATGCATCTAAGACTCCCTTGTACATTGATGGGGGCCTAATTTACTGACATGAGGTAAACCTGGACCTTACTTACCAAAGTCTATGTAGTAAACTGTAAAGTAAGGTGAAGTGTATCTGTGTTCACTTCAAACATCTAGTTGTATATAAAAAAAAAAAAAAAAAAAACATATTTTCAAACTTTCCTGTATATTATTCAACAGCTAAACCAGGGCTGGAAAATCCAAGAAGCCAGGTAGCCAATGCTAACTTTTGAGGTTTTTTCTAGTTGTTGTCAATGGAGCTGGCTCCTAAAAAAGATACTGTTGGCTCCTGCATTGGGTAGACTGGCTTATGAATTCCATATTAATTTGTCCGACCCTGAGCTAAAGAGAACATACAGTAAGCTCACTGCACCTTACTTGACACTTTAATCACTAAGGGCCTGCGTGTCTGCACTATACTTAAAACAGAAGTTTGATTGCATTTGCTATCTTGCAAAGGCAGTATAAAGGAAAAGTAGTGTTGAAAAAGGCACTTGTACTTTAAAACAATTATTTTTGTGTATGACTTGTTCAAGACCCATGTATCTAGGGCATGACAGGGGTACATCCTTTCCCTTCATGCTTTTGTGCAAAAAGATGTCTTTGTTTCTTATCTTAATGCCATATTAAATATGGATTATTTACAAATATTTGTAAATAATAAACTTTACCTTTCTCGACAATATCTTCACATTTAGTTAGATCAACGTTTCTGTCCATTGAACTTTGCTCAATAATTTCCTGTTTTGCTGACATCTGTGTTAGCAAACCTGCAAATAATTAATATATTCCGGTGATTAAATGCAAGCAACATAAAAACAAAGGCTGAATTAGGAAAGAGAATACATTGTAATAGACCGGCTATTGTCAAGGTAAATGTACCCATAAAATCCATTTTGTTATTTTCCTTTCAAATTCACATTGGTTTGAAAGGACATTTTGACACGGATATCTCTCTCCATCAAAATCAAGCTTCACGGACATCATGAATGGGAACAAATTCCTTCTGTACAAGTGAGATAACAGATGTGAAGGTCTCAGTTAAGCAGGTGCATTGTAATGCACATTGACAAATGCATATGGACACTGTTTAGGCAAGAAATTTATGAGACATGATAAACAATGACAGTGAAGACAATGAAACAGACAGAAAGCACACTGTCAAGCATAACAGTTTTGATGTAATTGCAGTTCTGTGTAAGAAGAACAAACACGAAAAGCTGCCTAGGGTATTTAGTGGCATAATGATGCATTAGATTTATACTTTATAAAAAGTAAACTTTTTTAAGTAAAAAAATTCTTTCCTTTTACTTACTGTAAAAGAAGAATACAGGAAGAAAAATGGAGTTCAATTTTCAGCCCGATAAAGCGATTACAAAATAATAATATAGAAGGTTTAATAGTTGAGCAGGAGGAGTGATAAATAGTGCTGCTGTATATCAAATAAAATGCTTGCCTTAAAAGGTAAAATAAATAAATAATAAATGTGGATGCTGGACTTCTAGAAAATAGCTGTGCCCCTTCTCCTCCCCCCTGGAACACACAAAATGTGCACAGCACCCTCAGAGGCTGACTGAATGACCTACACTGGAGCAGTGTTGTAAGTATGCAGTAGCATACTTTTAGTGACGAGCGTGCCTTGCGTTACCGTTGTGGTAGAACACACATTACTGAAACACAGGTCCAAAGGAGGCCTAAAGGAAACTATACTTTTATGTAGGGATGCACCGAAAATTTCGGCTGTCGAAACATATCGGCCGAAAATTGAACTTTGTGCAAAATGCTGAAAGTACCATTTTGCAGCCGAAATCACAGTGC